ATCATATAGAAAAAATAAACATTCTTTTTTATGATAAATATATATAAATGCAATTATATATAAGCAACAAAATGGAGCACTTATAAAATCTTGCATATGCAAGAGATAAGATTCCATGGTGAATGAATGAAGGAAAGAAAAAACATTTATCATTATTTGAGGTTTTCTTGGCACATATCCTGGAGTGGTTTGCTATTTCCTTCTCCAGCTCATTTTTACAGATGAGGAAACTGAGGCAAACAAGGTTAAATGACTTCTAGTGTCACACAGCTAGGAAGTGTCTGAGTCCAGATTTGAATTCAGGAAGATGAGCCTTCTTGACTTTAGGCCTGGTATTCTATCCACTGTACCATCTAGCTGCTATCATGGTGCTTTATAAATGTTTGTTGACTGAGGTGCCATTTTTAATGAGAAGCCTCTCCTAGACTCCCAATTGTTAGTTCTCCCTCCCTTTTAAATTATTTGCATTGACTTGGTGACATAAACTCTGTATCCCCTATCCCACCCTACCTTGAGGTCAGAGACTATCATTTCGTTTTTCTTTGCATCCCTAGTTCTGTGCTGCTTAATAAGCACTTGTATTGAATTGAATTTAAATTGGCATTTGTTGGATTAAGTGAGTTTCTGTGGTTCCTCTGTGCCAAGCACTGTGTTAAGTTCTGGAAATACAGAGAAAGCTTGGCAGCCCCTGCTCTCCAGGAACATACTCTTTAATTGGGGGAAACAACACATAAAAGGAAGTTTGGCTACAGGGTCAATGAGAAGGCCAAGATATTCTAAGAGTTCCAACTGGTGGGGTGGACAGCAGGGCCTAGGAGTCTCTGGACTGCATTACTAGGTCAAATGAGAATGTAAGGGGTTAGTAGGTTATAGAGGTAAGGTCAAATGGGAAGGCCTGGTGGTCCTCCATCTCACTGAGAGGAACAGAGTTGATGATTCCCATCTCATCCAAGTTTTATGGGCAGTCAAGCAGCCCAAATGAGTTATGGGTAGCCTCAGCCTGTGGGAGGGGGCAAAGAAAAGGAGAGGGAAGAAGGACATTCTCAGCCATGTTAGGTCTTCCTGCCAGACCAGCCCACGTGGATTTTGGATGGTTGGAGCCAAGGAAGTCAAGGGGGAATTTCTGCTTAGTTTTAAAAGTTTCTAACATGTTTAACAATTAGTCAGTAAATATTTATGAAGCACCTGCTATGTGTCAGACACTGTGCTAAGTGCCAGGATACAAAAGAAGAGAAAAAGAGTCTCTGCCTTCTTGTGCCAAATTGGGAAAGTTTTATAACAGATAAGCAAACATCTGATTAGGATAGTGCAAAAAGTCAACACGTCTTCATCAATAACAGGTCACCACAGGCTAATTTCATTTCTTTTTTTGACAGGATTACTAAACTAGTAGATGGGTGAAAGCTATGGATAGAGTTTACCTAGATTTTAGCAAAGCTTTTGATAAAGTAATTCTTAGGAATAGCACTTGCTTTGTGCCAAGCACTGTACTAGGAGCTTTATAGTTATTATCACATTTAATCTTCACAACAACTCTGGGAGGTAGGTGCCATTACTATCCTCATTTTACAGATGAGGAAACTGAGGCAAATAGAGGTTTCAGTGACTTGGTCAGGGTCATATAACTAGTACGTATCTGAGGCTAGATTAAACTCAGGTCTTCCTGACTCCATGCCAGAGTTCTATCTGCTGTACTACCTAGTTGCCCATAATATTCTCATAATATTCAAGTACAGAAGATGAGAGAGACATGGATTAGATGATAATAAAATTACAGGAGTTCGGTATTGGTTCGATTGCCAGAATATGGCAAGAGATTTCTAGTGGAACACCCCAGGGATTTGTACTTGGCCTTGTGCTGCTTAACATTTTTGTCACTCTCTTTCCTTGCTCAATGAATTCAATACCTGGCTCACAATTTTTCTCTCCTCCCCAACTCCTGCACTTATCTTAGGGGATTTCAGTGTACATGTTAACTTTCTTTCAAATACCTTAACTACTCAGTTCCTCAAACTACTCACTTCCCATAAGCTACTGTTCCACCCCACCTCAGCCACATACAAAGATGATCATAACCTTGATCTTGCCATAACCCACAAATGTACTACCACTTCCATGTTCATAAATTCCAAAATCCCTTTATCCAATCATAATCTATTGGCTTTTCACCTTTCCCTCTGCCTTCTCTTATAAAACTCTACAGTTCATCTGCACCATGTCCTCCAATCCCTTGATCCCATCTCCCCTTCTCTTGCTACCCTCTCCTCTTTTCCCCATCTTGACCCCTTAGTGAACCAATTCAGTTCTTCCCTGTCCTCCCCTCTTGAATGCCTCGCCCCCTTATCATATAGCCAGTTATGCCCAGCCTAATTTTATCATTGGATCATTCCCACCATAGGAGCTGCCTTTGCTCCTACATATATTCTACTGAGTGAAGATGCAAAAAATCATGCAACCATTTTGTGTCCACTCCACAATTATGTTGCACAACCTCAACTAAGACCTCACTGCTGCTAGACAATCCTACTATACCTCCCTTATCAGCTCGCTATCCCATTCTCCACAGTGGCTCTTCCAATCCTTTTTATCCCTACTCAAACTTCCCACAAGTCTCCCTCCCTCTGCTTAGCAGAGAACCTGTCCTTATACTTTATAGATAAACGTGAAGTTATTTGCCATGAGTTTCCTCTTTTTCCCTCTTCATCTCCTATCACTCAGATGCCATCTGTCACTATCTCCCCCTTCATCCTGTCTCACATAATGAAGTGGCCTTCTTCCTTACCTCTATTTGTTCAAGGGCTCACATTCTACTCCATCTTCTCCAACAGATTGCCCCCTCTGTCATCCCCACTCTTTTACTTATTTTCAAACCCCCCCCCTTACTACTGGCTCATACCCTACTGCCTATAAACATGCCCATGTCTTCCCCATCACTTGATCCTTCTATCCCCAGAGACTATCTTCCTATATCTCTTCTGCCCTTTGTAATGAGGCCATCTAGAATAGGTGCCTCCACTTTCCTCCCATTCTTAACTCTTTACAATCCAGCTTCTGACCTTATCATTCCACCAAAACTGCTCTCCCCAGTGTTACTAATAATCTTTTAGTTGCCAGACCCAATGGCCTCTTCTCAATCGTCATTCCCCTTGTCCTCTCTGCAGCTCTTGACATTGTTGACCATTCTCTCCTCCTTGATAAACTTTTCTATTTAGGTTTTCAGGAAATCACTCCCTTATGGTTCTTCTACATATCTGACCTCTTGATGCAGTTTGGGGTTGCTGGGAACCCCAAAATGTACAGGGCAAGTCTGCCTGGAAAGAATTCAAGTTCTCAACCTTCTTTCAGTCAAAGTAGCAAGGTTTATTGTAACACCAAAAGTGCAGGAGATTCCTACTGAATCTGCAATTTAATGGGGGTGAGATTGATGCTTATATACAAAAAAGGGACATCAAAAAGATCTGGGTGGGATTAAGGAGTAGTAAATCCCTGGGATGGGCCAGGTGTAATAGTGAAAAAAGTATTAAGTAGTCTGGGGTGGGTCAAGTGCCATAGTGAAAGGACTGTCAAGTATCTAGTTAGGATGGGGTGGGCCAGATGCCTGGGATGAGAGGCCTCACCTGGGCTCATCAGGGCTGCTGAAATGTGTGGGAACATTCGGGGACTGGGTTGCTTTCAAAGACGTGGTCTTTTCCTTTTCGGGGTCCAGTTCCCATCACTCTCATCTGTCTTTTGCTGTATCTCTCTCATATCATGCCCTCTAATTGTAGGTGTCCCTCAGGGTTTTTTCCTAGGTCCTCTTCTCTCCCTCCTTGCTATTTCACTTGGTGATCTCATGAGCTCCCATGGGTTTAATTACTATGCTGTTGATTCTCAAATCTATCTATCCTGTCCCAAACTCTGTGCTGACCTCAAATCTTGCATTTCTAATTGACTTTCAAACATCTTGAACTGGATATCCAGTAGACGTCTTACATTTAATCTGTCCAAAATGGAATTCATTATCTTTCCCCCTAAACCACCTCCTTTCCCTTCCCTATTACTGCAGAGGGCACCACCATCTTCCTAGTCCCGCAGGCTCACAACCTAGGAGTCTTGCTGGATTTCTTACCATCTCTCACCTCTCATGTCCAATTTATTGCCGGAGCTTGTCGATTTCATTTCTGTAACATCTCTTGAATAAGCCCCCTTCTTTCTGACACTGCCCCCACTCTAGTGCAGGTCCTCATCACCTCATGCCTGGAGCCTGCTAGTGGGTCTGCCTGCCTGCCTCAGACCCCTTCCCTCTTCCATTTATCCTCCATTCAGCCACTACCAGGATTTTCCTACAGAGAAGTTCAAATTATTTCCCTCCTCTCCTCCCCTAATAAACTCTAGTGGCTCCCTATTCCCTCCAGGATCAAATGCAAACTTCTCTATTTGGCACTCAAAGACCTTCATAACTTAGTTCCTTCTCATCCTACTCCCTGTAAGAGAGTACTTACTTTTTTATCCAGTGACATTGGTTTCCTGGCTGTTCCAGAAACAAGACACTGTAGTTCTCGGCTCTGGGCATTTTCTCTGGCTTTTTTCCATGCCCGGAATGCTCTCTCTCCACCTCTCCACGCACTGACCTCCCTGGCTTCCTTTAAGTCCCAACTACAATCCCTTCTTCTACTGCTTTCAGCCAGAGACAAAGTTTATTAGAGATCTGTCATATTAGCCAGACTCCTAAGGAATCTGAGCATCTGTGAGCTCTTGGCTAGATTCTTAGAATCTGAGCACCTTAATGGAGACTAGATGGACCTTAGGTACAGAAAGACTACACTACGGAAGGGACCTAGGCGTGGCCAAGTAGTCTACAGGGACTGTGAGGTAATAGAACTCTAGGGACCTGTACCACGTGGCCAAGAGGGGAGGAGGGAGAGAGGGAGGAGAGGAAGGAGGAGGAAGGAGAGAAGGAGGGGGGGGAGAGGAGAGGAGGGGGAGAACAGGAGCATGGAGGAGGGGTAAAGGGAAGAGGAGTTGCAGGGAGGAGGGAAGAAGGGTAAAAGCAGGAGGACGAGGATCTGCGGAGGAGGCGCTGTTCAGCTGCCGGTGCTGAGCCGCTGCTGCGGGCTCCCGGCCCCAGAGTCGGAGATGCAACCCAGCGGCTGGGTGTCGGTGATGCTGCTCCTGGGGCTCGCGCTGCATCTGATCGGGCTCCCCACGCCTCTTTCAGGGAGCCCCCTGGCGGTGACGGAGGGGAAGGCACCTGGCAAAGTCCTGACGCTCGACCTGAACAGGTCCAAGGTGCGGGAGGTGAGCCTGGCTTTCCTCTCTGTCACCATCGACTCCAACCTGATTACCCACCCCAGGTACATCACCTTCCTGAGGTAAGCTGCTGATATTCGCCGGCCCCTCTCCTCCGTATGCAGTCTGCTTTCTCCTGGTTTCCTACCTCCGCACCTGAACGCTGCCCGCTGCTCTCCCCAGAACTAAATACTTCCAACTTTGTTCTCCAATCGCGTTTCCAGGTACTTTCTGACGGCCTTTACTGTCCTAGGCGAAATCGCCCACACTGAATTGTTTTTTTTTTTAATGTGCAGGAGTGGGTTGGGCTGCCGCGGGTGTTCCTAACCGGGTGTCCACGGACCCCTCCCCCGAAGAGGTTTCTGGATAGGTTTCAGGAAGTTTGTGAACTTGGATAGGAAACTTGGCGTTTCCTTCCATGTTTAAGCACGTTATCCTGAGATGGGGTCCATAAATTTCACCTGACTGCCAAAAAAGTTCTCCTCGCGCGCGCGCGCGGACACACACACACACACACACACACACACACACGCTCACACACGCTCACACACACACACACGACCTAGAAGATCTCCAGCGCTAAAGATGTAGCAATCAATGAAATACATGGAAGGGACTGTTCTCAGTAACTGACCAGCTATCATCACTAGTCCTCCTTTCCCTGTGGAAAATGGCCAGCCAGAAAAGACACTGGTTATTTCCAACGTCTAGCACTGTGCTTTGCATAAAGGAAGTGCTTAATAGATAATTGTTGAGTTATTGCCTCAACTCCAGTTGAATTCTTGGAAAGGGGGTTCACTTCTAAACTTAAATGCAACATGTCCAAAATTGAACTCATGATCTTACCTTCCAAACCTTCCCTTCTTCCCTATTACTATTAAAGATATCAACAGAGAAAACTTAATCCAATCCCCTCATTTCACTGCTAAATAAACTGAAGCTCAATGAGTTTAACTGACCTGCCTGATAGCCTAGTTCTGTGAATTTCTCAAAGCTATGTGAATCTTTTGAGTACATAGGATATATATTTCTTCGACAACTTATTTAATGCTTCTGAAGGTATGTTGGCTAGGCAAGTTTCGCTAGAGGTGTTACTGCATTTATCAAAGTTATCACTTATAATACTCTGAATACTGTAAACTTTTCCTCTTGTGCCGTTTAGAACTATGCCCAAAGGGCTATAAAACTGTCCATACCCTTTGATCCAACAATACCATTACTAGGTCCACTTGTATGTCATGGCATTGCCTCCCTGATGTCATGGTCCTCTTGGAGAATGAAGGAGAAATAGCATCAGCAAGAAAGATATCAGCATCTTCCCAGCCACCTAAGTTCTCAACTGTTGTCATCCCCTTCTCTTTCCTCTCTCACATCCAATCTGTTGCCAAGTTCTATTGATTTTACCTTCATAACATCTCCTATATGTCCCCTTCTCTCCTGATGCTGCTACCATCCTCATCACCTCATGCCTAAACTATTCAATAGTCTAATGGTTGGGGGGGCCTGCCACAAGTCTCTCCTTTCTCCAATCCATGCTCCTCTCAGCTGTCAAAGTAATAACAACTTTCATTTCCAAGTTAACAGTACTTACGATATATTCATTGATGTACCGGATCTTGTGGTAGCCTTTGATGGTAAAAAAAAAAGGGCGGGGGAAGGAAAAATGACCAAACAGTCTCTGCCTTCACGAAGTTTACATTCTATCAATCAGCATGGTCATGTGGAAGCCTGGACAAAATAAATCCTAATTTCAGGGGTGAGAGGCACTAGCAGCTGAGGGGACTTATTAGAAAAGGCCTAATGTAGGAAGGGGCAGCTAGGTGGTGCAGTGGTTGGTCCATTGGCCTTGAATTGGGAAGACTCCTCTTCCTGAGGGATTCGATTTCAGTTTGTTCCCAGAGGGCAAGTTTGGAGTTGATGTCAGGAAAATCTCCCTAGCAATTAAAGCTGTCCAAAAGTGCAATAGACTTCTCTGAGCGGTGACAGCTTTCTCCTTGGAGATCGTAGAGCCATAGCTCAATGATCGTTTGTTAGCTATGGGAGAGCGGAACTCAAACAACGTATGTTATAGTGGGAATTCTTTCATATATGGGTTAGCCTAGATGGCTGCTGAGATCCTTTCCAATTCCCAGATTCTAGGCTTCTCCGTTTCTATTACTGGATCTGCAGACACTATATTTTTATTAACTAACAACTGAAAACAAACTCACTGACCCATCAACCACATTTTCTTGGTGAAAATATACTTTTTACTAATTTGAGGAAATCCTGCTTCTCAGTTCCCAGAGGCTTCGAACCTTAGCCAGAGGCTTATCTCCTGCCTACTTGAGATTTGGTGGCACCAAGGCTGACTTCCTGATCTTTGACCCAGAGAAGGAATCAACCTTTGAGAAAGGAAATTACTGGGAAGCTCAAATCAACCCAGGTGATTTTTTTTTCATAGTATTTTTCAACATACACTTGCATCTTCTTGAGTTAGTCCTACGTTTGCCTTGTTTGCTGTTTTTGTTTAATTTGGAGAAACAGGAACAGTTGTATATTACGTGTTACATGTTGCACAATATTACATATAAAATTACATATTATAATGGGGATACCTCCTCTTGACATATTGCAAAAGCCTGGAACCAAGTGGGAAATGCCTCATATTCTCTTGCATCCCTTGCTAATTTTTCCAGCTCTAGAAGGTACACTGTGGTGTGTATCAAAGGCTATCAACATTACTAGCTGTGTGACCCTGGGCAAGTCACTTAACTCCAATTGCCTAAAAAGGAAAAAAAAATACAAAAAAAAAGGGCTATTAACAGTGCAGTTTATTAACAGTGCAATACAGTGGTGGCAATGATGTTTTCTTGAAGAAGGCATAGAAGTGGGAATGGTTAAAAGTGAGAATTATTTAAAGTTTAAGCTACACAAAATGTGATTTTTATGCATGTTTACACTTAAAAAGGTCAACAATGTGTCCTTTTAAAGGTGTAATCAAAATGAAGGTGCCAAATTCTATATTTCTACTTCACATGTGTGTCCACTGCCAAATTACACTTGCTAAGGAATCAGTGGGAGAATTCATATTGAAATATGTTTGAAATAAGTATTTATTTTAAATGTTTTTATAGGTTCATTTAAGTACCTCTGTCTTTTTCTCAAGAAGTAGCTAGGAAGATTGGGAACATAGGAAATGGGGCCTCCAGTTATGAAGAAGTAAGGGTTGATTTGAAAAAAAATTAATTTTTAAAAATTTAATCTAATTAACTTAAATTAATTTAATTTAATTACTTTTAAATTTAAATATAAAATATATTTATATTTATAAAATAAATATAAAAATATTAAATTTTAATTAATTTTAATTTAAAATTTTAATTTTTAAAAAATTAATGATTGTTGGGGCAGCTAGGTGGCACAGTGGATAGAGCACTGGCCCTGGAGTCAGGAGGACCTGAGTTCAAATTCGACCTCAGACATATAACACCCACTAGCTCTGTGACTCTAGGCAAGTCACTTAACCCCAATTGCCTCACAGAAAAAAAAAAATAATGATTGTATTAGTCCTTTCCCAATCAGTCAAACACTTAAAATCTTTCTGGTTAATTGAAGAAAAAATACTGTGGACAAGAATACTTCTTGTTACTTTAGATAGAAAAATCTGTCTTTTATTCATCAAGAAACCCTGGGTGTCCTCTTGCTCCTGCTGAAGCCACTGGTATTATTCATGCTGTTCTTAGAACATTCTTTTCGGTCCCAGGGATAGCCAAAGGACAAGATTATGCCCCTTTGATGACAGGAAGTTATCTGAATGTCAGCTACTTGTAGCTGCACAGGACTGCAGGCAGCTGGTGGCACAGTAAATAGAGAACTGGGCCTGAAGTCAGGAAGATCTGAGTTCAAATCTCACCTTAGATATTTACTGTGTGACCCTGAGAAAGTCACTTAACCTTTGTTTGCCTCAGTTTCCTTTACTGTGAAGTGGGGATAATAACAGCACCTATTTCCCAGGGTTGTTGTGAGGATCAGATGGGATACTATTTGCCAAAGTGTTTGGCACATAGGGCACTCTATAATTTGCTTATTCCCTTCTCCCCTTTTCTCTCTTGGGTAAATGGGGATAATACTAGCACTTATCTCACAGGGTTCTTGTGAGAATCAAATGAGATAATAAAGCACTTTGCCAACCTTAAATCTCTATATGTTGTTGTTGTTCAGTCATATCTTCATGACCCCATTTGGGGTTTTCTTGACAAAGATACTGCAGTGATTTGCCATTTCCTTCTCCAGCTCATTTTACAAATGAGGAAACTGAGGCAAATAGGGTTAAGTGACTTGCCCCGGGTCACATGGCTGGTAAGTGTCTGAGGTCATATTTGAACTCAGGAAGAGGAGTCTTCCTGACTCCAGGCACAGAGCTCTAGCCACTGTGCCACCTAGTTGCTTCAATAGGGGATATCATTATCCCCATTTTATAGGTGAAGAAAATGAGGGCAAGTGACTTATCCAGAGTCACATAGCTAGTATATATCTGAGGCAGGATTCAAACTCAAGTCTTCCTGATTACAAGTCTGATCCTCTAGTAACCACATTACCTAGTTGCCTTTCATAGATCCCGTAATATCTGAAGAGTATCAAGGCTAACTCAAACCTTTTTCTCCCACTATAGATATTTGCAACTTTAGTCCCCTCCCTTCTGCCATGAAGGACCAGTTGGAATTGGAATGGCCCTTCCAGGAGTTGTTATTACTCAAAGAAAGACGTCAGAACTTATTCGAGAAAGCCACATTCACAAGTAAGAAACCTAAGGTGTTTGGTAGGGTATTCTGGTCTCAGAAGCAAGGGGTTTTCTAGGATTAGGCAGCCAGCATAAGCCTGAAATCCCACAATTGATTCTGCAAGGTAGGACCCTCCTATTAATCTAGAACACACAATCATTCCTCACCTCTGGAACTGCTGGATGGACTCAGAGTGCTGTTAAGAAGTAAGTCAAGGGGGGGGTGGAGCCAAGATGGCGGAGGGAAAGCAGTGACTTGCTAGAGCTCTCCCCCAAACCCCTCCAAATACCCACAAAAAATGGCTCTAAACAAATTCTAAAGCAGCAGAACCCACAAAAAAAGACAGAGCAAAACAAATTTCCAGCCCAAGACAACCTGGATGGTTGATCGGAAGGGATATCTCGCCAGGCTGGGAGAAGAGCACAGTTCAGCATGGGCGCGCAGACCGCAGCCACCCTGGAGCAGGCCTCAGAGGACTGATTCATGGGCAGCTGTGGTGGTTTCTAGACTTCTCAACCCAGGAATGCCAAAGACAACTTAGAAGGTCAGTGGGAAAAGTCTGTTACTGCGGTGAGAGAAGAAGCTAGATCTCAGCTGCCCCCAGGGCAGCGGCTAGCTTCTGAGCTTCCGGCCCACAGACTGAGGGGGAATCAAGTGGCTGATCAGAGGGGGATTGCAAGGATCTCTTTGCCAGGGCTGAGGCAAGAATCTCTTGCTTTGCTCGTGCTTGGATCTGGGTCACAGTTCTGAGGGGCGGTCCTGGGGCGAGGAGGAGCGCTGGTCTGATGGAGCTTGTTGTGGTGGTGGAGAGGAAACACCTCACCGCTTATCATACCACCTTGGAAGAACTGACACTTTTCAGGTCCCTAGAAGTATCTCTGAAAACAGCTGTACAAACCCCCAAAGCTTGGGACAGTACATTCTCCACATTGGAAACAGACTCTTACCTTAACAAAGAGTTAAAAACTCAAGTAATTGGTTGAGATCATGAGCAAGCAGCGCAAAAAGAGTCAGACTATATTATCTTACTTTGGTGACAAAGAAGATCAAAACATACAACCAGAAGAAGAAAACAAAGACCAAGCTCCTACATCCAAAACTTCCAAGAAAAATATGAATCAGTCCCAGGCCTTGGAAGAGCTCAAAAGGGATTTTGAGAAGCAAGTAAGAGAAGTAGAGGAAAAACTGGGAAGAGAAATGAGAGTGATGCAAGAAAATCATGAAAAGCAAGTTAACAGCTTGCTAAAGGAGACCCAAAAAAATACTGAAGAAAATAACACCTTAAAAAATAGCCTAACCCAAATGGCAAAAGAGGTCCAAAAAGCCAATGAGGAGAAGAATGTCCTAAAAAAGCAAAATTGGCCAAATGGGAAAGGAAGTCCAAAAGATTACTGAAGAAAATACTTCCTTAAAAATTAGAATAGAGCAATTGGAAGCTAGTGACCTTAAGAGAAATCAAGACACTGTAAAACAAATCCAAAAGAATGAAAAATTAGAAAACAATGTGAAATATCTCATTGGAAAAACAACTGACCTGGAAAATAGATCCAGGAAAAAGAATTTAAAAATTATTGGACTATCTGAAAGCCATGATCAATAAAAGAGCCTAGACATCATCTGTCAAGAAATCAAGGAAAACTCCCCTGATATTTTAGAACCAGAAGGCAAAATAGAAACTGAAAAAATTCAGTGATCTCCTCCTGAAAGAGATCCTCAAAAGAAAACTCCTAGGAATATTGTAGCCAAATTCCAGAGTTCTCAGGTCAAGGAGAAAATATTACAAGCAGCCAGAAAGAAACAATTCAAGTATTGTGGAAACACAATCAGGATAACACAGGATTTAGCAGCTTCTACATTAAGGGACCGCAGGGCATGGAATATAATATTCCGGAGGGCAAAGGAGATAGGATTGCAACCAAGAATCACCTACCCAGCAAAACTGAGTATAATCCTTTAGGGGAAAAAAATTGTCATTCAGTGAAATAGAGGACTTTCAAGCATTCTTGATGAAAAGACCAGAGCTGAATAGAAAATTTTGACTTTCCAATACAAGACTCAAGTGGAACATGAAGAGATAAACAGGAAAGAGAAATCATAAGAGGCTTATTAAGGTTGAACTGTTTACCTTCCTTCATGGAAAGATGATATTTGTAACTCATGAGACCTTTGTCAGTATTAGGGTAGTTGGAAGGAAAAAATTATATGTATATACATATATATAGATAGATGGATAGATAGATGGATAGATAGATAGATAGATAGATAGAGGGCACAGGATGAGTTGAAGATGAAGGGGTCATATCTGGAGAATAAAATTAAGGGGTGAGAGAGGATTATACTAGGAGAAGGAGAAAAGGAAAGGTACAAGGGGATAAATTATCTCACAAAAAAAAAAACAGAAAAGAAAAGGCTCTTACAGTGGAGGGGAACCGGGGGAAGGTAAGAGGAAATGAGTGAATCTTATTTTCATAGGATTTGACTTAAGGAGGGTATAACATACACACTCAATTAGGTATGGAAATCTGTCTTACCCTACAGGAAAATAGGAGGGGAAGGAGACAAGAGAGTAGGGGGATGATAGAGAGGAGGGCAGATTGGGAAAGGGGGTAATCAGAAGCAAATGCTTCTGAGGAGGGACAGGGTCAAAAGAAAGAATAGAATAAATGGGGGGGCAGGACAGGATTAAAGAAAATAGAGTTAGTTTTTCACAGCATGTCTACTATGGAAGTGTTTTGCATAACTGAACATATATAGCCAATATTGAGTTGCTTGCCTTTTCAATGAGGGTGGGTGGGGAGGGAGGAAGGGAGAAAATTTGGAACCCAAAGTTTAAAAAACACGTTTCAAAAAAAATGTTTTCACATGCAACTGGGAAATAAGAAATACAGGAAATGGGGTACAGAAATCTATCCTGCCCTACAGGAAAATAGTAGGGGAAGGGGGGGAGAGATAGCAGGGAAAGCAGACTAGGGGAAGGGGTATTCAGAATGCATGCCATCTTGGGGTGGGGGCAGGGGCAAGATGGGGTGAAAATTTGGAACTCAAAATCTTGTGGAAGTAAATGTTGAAAACTAAAAATAAAAAAAATTAAAATTAAAAAAAAAAAAGAACTAAGTCAAGGGGGATGAGCCAGGATACTGACTAATGGGTAAGCAGACATTAGTCAAAGGGGTTGGAGAGTCTTGGATCCAACCAGAAATGTTCTCCCACCAAACTGGTTTCTCTTTTGCTTCTTCCATGCCTTAAATTAACTGGGATTTTGCAAATGTGGGACTCGCCCAAGTAATTACCATTCCGGCTAACCTGGAATTACATATATTTGATAGATTTGATTTGCAGAGCTAATATAACAAATGATAAATGGTAGAATTTCTGAAAAAAATCATTTGCCCATATTCAAGATAACATTTTATATCAGTATCATTTTAACATGATATTTGTATCCCCATACTTTGTCTTCTCAGTCAACAGAAGACTTCATTAATGTAAAACACAAGGAACTGGGGAGAAATGGCCTTTGAATTCAGCTAGTCTGGGGCATCCAACATTTTTATTAAAATTACATTTTTTTAAAAATCCGTATTTTAAAAAAATTTTATTTTTATTTTAAATTAGTCCCCAAAAAAGAAAGCCTTTTGATATATATAGCAGAACACAAAAAGAGGACTATATATGAAACAGAATGTTTCATTCCACATTTTAAAAAACATGTAATAAAGTCCACATATCACTTTTAAAACTATACTACTTTTCTGTGCTTCCTCCTAAGTTTCCAGTGCATTTTTAAAAATGTTTCAATGGCACTATTTTTTTCATCAGTATTGTTAAACTCTCCCTTTCCTCCTAACTAAAAAAAAATTGGGGGGGGGGCAGCTAGGCAGTGGCCTTAAGTGACTTGCCGAGGGTCACACAGCTAGTAAGTGTTATGTGTCTAAGGCTGGATTTGAACTCAGGTCCTCCTGAATCCAGGGCCAGTGCTCTATCTGCTGTGCCACTAAGGGGGCAGTTAGCTGCCCCCTAACTAAAAAACTGAGGAAAGAAAAAATAAAATAGAACTTGGAACAGATAAGCACAGCCAAGCAGAATGAATCCACGCAGTGGTCATATCCAAGAATATCTGTCCATTTCTGCTTCCCAAGTCCAGTCCAGCCCAGGACAACATGCTTAATCAGAAGTCCTCTGGAGACATGGCTGATCAGAGTTTTTACATATTTCCAAGTTCTTCTTCTTTACAGTAGTGTTATCTTTGTAGGCATTGTTTTCCTAGTTGCACTCACTTACCTGCATCAGTTCATACCACCCACCCAAGATTCTCTGCCATTATTGCTTTCATCTTTAGTACTATTCCATTCCATTCCATTCATGCTTCACGAATTGTTCAGCCATTCTCCAATTGATAGGTGCCCCACCATTAAATTCTGGTCCTTCCCTTCTCTTTCCTTCTATTCCCTTCTTGACTTCAGTGTATTTCTCCTTGGTCTTTCTGGGCTGAAATGTCCACATTTGTAAAATGAAGGGTGGGACTAGTTGGTCTTCCAGCTCTTAATCTATGGTCTAAGGATATTGTTATCCTTGGGATGTATGCCATGGGATGATTATTAAACCAAGGAGGCTTTAAGAGTGGTTTCTAATCAGGAGAAAATTCCTAATATGTTTCAGAGAATCTTTTTTTTTTCAATGAGACATTGATACTGAAGACTGAGAAGGGTCTATATCTTTCTGAAGACAATGCTGGTGTCCAGACTGTATCCACAATAACCAAAATGAGTATTAGTCTGTCTATAAAAGGAGAGCACTTTAATTATGTTGTTGGTTATATATTGCTTTTGATTTTTGTTTTTCCAATTCTCCCTAAAATGAAGGTGCTGATTTATTGCCACAGCTGTGGATTTTCTTTACTTGCAAGGCCAAAGGGGAAATGTTTCCCTTCAGAAATCAGAGGATTGAACTTATGGCATGCAATTATATAATGTTTATACCTACAGAAAATCTTATTTCAATTGATGCTCTCAATAGC